TCATATAAAAACTGGGTTTTAACGTCAAACTATTAAGACATTTATATTCCAAGTCTTGCAATACTAAATTAGCTATGATAGGTGATGTTGCGTACGTTGTCAAGTTGCCGGCATGTGCGTTGCGCTTTTTAGTTCCTCGGTCCGCCGTGCGTGTAGATTGCTAAGTCACTAGTCTGACGGCGACAGGCAGCGCTATAATCTGGTGATTTTTATTGCTCGTGCGTTACCGGTTTGATTTTGTTGTTGTTGTTGTTCTTTTTGTAGCAACGATAAGTCGTACGTTGCAATACCAAAAATAAATTCGTTTTTTCTTTCATACATTCATATCGTGATTCATTCAGTGCACACAATTACAAAAGATAGAATTAGCGTACACATACGCACGCGACACAAGTCGCCAAGGAAATATCAAGAAATTTCCAACATATTTTGGTCCTTCGAGCCGGATACTCTCGAATGTTCGAGAGTGATATCATTAATTGCCGCATTCGGCATTAATTTGTGTTTCGTGGCAAAACGCAATTGCACAAAAATTCATAACATCCGAGTAGTACACTCGGAAACTCCAGTAACAATCGTGGTTTTCGAGATAAGCATACATATCCAGCCAGCAACAAGGTGGCTAAACCACGCATCGACATATTGGGCAAGCTTCGTACGCCAACTATATTCTACAAAGACGCAGCCATTTTGGATAATCCGCAATCAGACTGTCTCACGGAAGCGAGGACAAGTAGCAGCAACCAGGAAATCAAACAGAGAGCATCGACAAACCACTTTGAATCCACAACGAGCATCGATCATCCTATCAACGTTCAACAAAATTCATCATTTATTAGAACATTAAGTAATACATGTAAAGATTTGTTCAATATTGTCTTGAGGCGTCAGCTACTCGTAAGTTCAGGTTTGATTATTTAGTATAACATATCAAAATAGTTCAAACGGAAACCGAAGTGAAAACGAGGCGAAGATCTATAAAGGCTTCTGCCACAAGATTGCGTACTTACATAGACTCCCCGCAATCCGAGCACGCTACGAAATTTGAATTAGTAGAACGTAAGAAAAAACTGTCAAACTTATTCCAGCAGTATGACGAAGTGCAATCGTACATCGAATGCTTAGATTCGGAATCAGACGACATGAATGTAAGCTCAGCACATGCATTGGAGCGTGCTCGGTTTGAGGAGGCATATTTTCAACTCACGGCGTATATGATCAGCGGATTAGTCGATTCGAGCCGCCGCAAGTCACTCCTCAATCGGTTAGTAGTGGTAATCAAGTTACACACCAAAATAACACAGAGTCACAAATAAAGTTGCCGAGAATTCAATTGCCTGTATTTTCGGGTGCTTATGAAGATTGGTGTACATTTCATGATTTGTTCGATAAACTGATTCATGCTAACGCGAATTTATCAGCAACTCAAAAATTTCATTACTTGCGATCTTCATTAAAAGACAAGGCGGCCGAAATTATTAAATCTTTTGATATCACAACTGATAACTATTCGGAAGCATGGAAATTACTCAATGAGCGTTTTGACAATAAGAAACGCATAATACAAACCCATGTTAAGGCCATGTTTGAGATTCCTTCAATTCACAAGGAAAATTATACTGCTTTACGAAATTTGCTTGACAACTTGCTCAAACATTTCAGAGCGCTTAGGGCCCTTCAAAGGCCAATAGATTCTTGGGACGACATGATGATCCACTTGGTATTAGCTAAGCTTGACTCTTCCACAATCAAAGAATGGCAGACCAGCCGTACCGACAATCAGATACCCACGTTCAAGGAGCTTACCGACTTCTTAGCACAACGATGTGAAGCTCTAGAAGCAACTTTTGGAAAATTATCAATTCGATCAAGCTCAGAAGTGACGAACAGTTCTCAGAAGGCCAAAAATCCGAGTTCACATGCAAGCACTTCGAGTCAGGTTTGTATCCATTGCAAAAATAATCATTTCTTGTTTCAATGTGACTCGTTTCGTAAATTGCCAGCTGAGAAACGTTTCGAAATTGTAAAGACAGCGCATCTATGCATCAATTGTTTAAGGGCTAAAGGGCATCAGGCAAAAGACTGCATGGCTGGTTCTTGTAGAAAGTGTGGGAAAGCACACAATACGTTATTGCATTTTGATTCAAACAAGACTAGCGCTTCGAGTACAAAGAATCAATCTTCATGCCCTCCTGAATCAACTAACGCATCCGTACCAGAGTCTCCATCTCCGGTATATTACTCAATGCACTCAAATTAATAGTGCATCCAAGATCTTTCTCTCAACCGCTATAGTTAACGTATACGACTGTCATGGGCATCCTCATGGCTGCAGAGTGTTATTAGATAGTGGTTCGCAATTGAATTTTATTACACAAAAGTTAGCAAATAAATTACGGCTTAACCATCGTGCATTAAACATGTCGATATGTGGAGTAGCGGAAGGAACATTCGAGTCTAAGGAAGTAGTTAACATCAGTTTTCGGTCTCGAACAAATAAGTATACTAATCAGCTTGATTGTATAATACTTCCTAAAATTACGCAGGACTTGCCGCAAGAATTTTGTCCGATGTCGGAATTCAGAATCCCATCAAATATTATCCTTGCTGACCCTAGTTTCAACATTCCCAACGAAATTGATTTGCTTATAGGGGCTCAGATGTTTTGGCAGCTCGTTTGTGTCGGCCAAATTAAATCGTGCAAAGCGCATCCCACCTTACAAAAAACTAAGTTGGGATGGGTGATTTCTGGTACAATACAAGGGCATTTGAGCAACACCGCGATTCCATCGTGTCATATTACCTCAGTTAACGAATTAGATAGATCTCTTTCCAGATTTTGGGAAATCGAACACAATGTTCCTTGCAATGAGGTCCAGTGCACTCCTGATGAGCAAAAGTGCGAAATGCATTTTCAGGCAAATGTGACTCGCAACACAGAAGGTCGTTTCGTGGTTAAGCTACCTACGAACGATGACAAAATACAACAATTGGGCGAGACACACGAAATCGCGAAACGTCGTTTTCTCAGTTTAGAAAAACGTTTGTTATTGCAACCTGATGTATATGCACAATACAGAAAGTTCATGCAAGAGTATATCGACTTAAATCACATGCGTCGAATAAAACCTTCGGTAAATCACGATAAAGCCTATTACATGCCTCACCACCCGGTTTTTAAAGAAACTAGCACTACAACGAAGCTAAGAGTAGTCTTTGACGCATCATGCAAAAGCACATCAGGACTGTCATTGAACGATTCATTGTTAGTTGGGCCAACCATTCAAGAGGACTTATTTTCGATCTTACTTCGCTTTCGCACATTTTCATATGCAATGACCGCCGATATAACTAAGATGTATCGGCAGATACTTTTTCATGATTCTAAAAGATCTTTACAGCGTATTTTTTGGCGTCACTCTCCGCAAAATGAGTTAGGGATTTACGAGCTGCTTTCTCTTACATATGGCACAGCTCCAGTCTCATTTCTTGCCATCAGGACCATACGAAGGCTCGCTGAGGATGAAATGAATTCTTATCCCATCGGTTCAAAAATAATATTGCGCGATTTCTATGTAGACGATCTACTTACAGGTGCATCCACATTTTCGGAGGCATTGGAAATAAAAAAGCAAACGGTCGAATTACTTGCAAAGGGAGGTTTCGATTTAGTCAAGTGGTCGTCTAATCATGCCGCTCTTCAAGATTCACAAGGGCCTCACAAGAAAAAATTCGATTTGGTAGGGGATCGTAATGTAGAGGCTAGGACTTTGGGTGTAATTTGGAATTGTCAAGCAGATGTTTTCAAATTTGAAGGTGTTGAACAACATCCGCCATTGGAAAGACCTACTAAGTGTAGCATATTATCTCGAATAGCTTTAATCTTTGATCCTTTAGGATTGTTAGGACCATCAGTGTTAATTGCTAAGATTATAATGCAAGATTTATGGCGTGCTAAGGTCGATTGGGATGAGTCTATTTCGAACGAATTGCATACACTTTGGAGAGAATATGAACGTAAGTTACAAGTTCTTAGCAATATTGAGATAACCCGTAAGGTAGTCACATTTAATGAGATACAATTCAGGGAAATTCATGGCTTTTCGGATGCAAGCGAACAGGCTTATGGCGCATGTATTTATCTACGGTCCATTTCTGATGATGGTCACGTTGAGGTTCATTTATTATGCTCCAAATCCAGAGTGGCGCCTCTCAAAGCGTTATCTATTCCTCGTCTCGAATTGTGTGGTGCATTGTTGTTAGCACAGTTAACGCAAAAGGTATTAAAGTGCTTGCCGTTTGCGGTCGATGGAATCCATCTATGGACGGATTCGACTATTGTAACATGCTGGATACGATCATGCAGTCGTCAGTGGTCGCAATTTGTTGCAAATCGCGTTGCAGAAATTCAGCGTCTTACAAATATTGATAGTTGGAAACATGTTCCCAGCAAAGAAAATCCTGCTGATTTACTTTCCAGAGGTATTATGCCAGACGTGTTGCATGAATCGGATATGTAGTGGACTGGCCCGCCCTGGCTAAAGTTAGACGAAACCAATTGGTCCTCTGAGAAATTTTCTGCATCAGATATAGAACTACCCGAGGGAAGAGCTACAGCTTTGGTAGCTGAAACAGAAGCTGAACAGCAATCTGATATTTTTGAGCAATTCTCGAAGTTGTCACGCATTGTGCGCGTCATTGCGTTTTGTCAGAGGTTTATACGGAATTCTAGAATGCACAAGGTACATGAGTCACATTCAAATAATAAGAGTGTATTAATTCCGCCATTATCGATTGATGAATTGGAGAAATCGAGATTAACGCTTGTGAAAATGGTACAGCGTACTTCGTTCAGGATGGAGTTGCATTCTGTTAAACGCGTCAATCACGTAAATAAAAACAGTAGCGTTTTAAAATTGAATCCGTTTATCGACGAACAGGGTATTTTAAGAGTTGGTGGCCGATTGCGTCACGCCGATGTATCGTATGAGTATAAGCACCCGATTTTGTTGCCCGGTAAACATCCTTTCACCAAAATGATTATTCTTCATGAACATGTGCGTCACTTCCATGCTGGAGCACAAGCTACATTGTCAGCGATTCGTCAAAGATACTGGCCTACATCTGCTCGAAGTGTTATTCGTAGTATAATAAATAAATGCGTGATATGTTTTCGTAATGCGCCTAAATCAAGCACACCTGTAATGGCCGACTTACCGGAGTCACGAGTAAATACAGTTAAATACGCGTTTGAAAAATGCGGCGTAGATTACGCGGGACCTTATTGGTATAGGGAAGGTCAACGAAAAAATACTAAAACAATAAAATGTTATATAGCAGTTTTTGTATGCCTAACTTCGAAAGCGATACACATAGAACTTGCGGCCGACCTTTCCGCGGAAACATTTTTGAATGTATGAAAGCGATTTATTTCCAGGAGAGGACGTCCCGCAGAAATGTACTCGGATAACGGTTTGAATTTTGTCGGGGTAAAACATTGCTTAATGAGTTATATAAATTGTTTAATGATGATAATTATCAAGCAAAGAATCAATATATGATGGCAGTTGAAAGAATAAAGTGGTACTTTATTTCACCTAGAGCTCCGCATATGGGTGGTATTTGGGAGGCGACTGTCAAAAGCGCTAAGTTCCACTTAAAACGCATAGCTAGTGAAGCAGCATTGAAATATGACGAGTTATTTACTTTGATGGTCCAGGTCGAAGCCATATTAAATTCTAGACCGCTTACTCCGCTTTCGATCCCAACGATCTCAATGTTCTTAATAATAATAATAATAGTATCCTGGGAGGCAGCCCCTAATTGGGGCCCACCAACGACACGCAGACCAAGTCCATTGTGTC